AGAGAGGATATCACAGACGGGCCAGACGAGGACAGCTGCGCGGTAGGCGCCCCGTGCACCCTGGCGCCGCCTAGCGGCAGCGGCCCGGCGGCTCCTGAGCGGTCTCCCGCGCTCCGGCATCCTCGGGACCCTCCTGGCCACAGCGGCGGCGACACCCGGCAGTTGCAGGCTTAGCGCGAGGGGGCGCCACTGAGGGCTGAGCAGACGGTGCCACCTGGGACTGGTGAGGTGTCGGTACCGTAGGACGGCAGATGGCGCCAGCTGCAGCTGGTGAGGTACAGCCGCCTACAGCGGCCTCACCAGAAGTAGCCAGGTCGAACAGGTGTTGATCACACTCTTCAGGTATGTTTCTGCGGAACCGATAAAAATACAAGCCGTTAATGATTCTACGAGTAGACCTGTTTTAATTCCCGCCGGACCTGAGTCGCCTTTCTTTAACCCTATTAGTGGCAGGCTCCTGGCTACCCTATTAGTGGCAGGGGGGGGGGGGGGGGCTGTTTACGACCCCTCCCTGATATCTCGAGATCTAACGGGCCGATTTTCAAAATTCAAACGGCATTCGATTTTGCTCAACGTGATCTACATTTCTAAAAATAAAAATTAAAAGATGTCAATAGGGGGGTAGAGGGGGGTAAAAACGGGCAAATTGCAGATACATTTAGACTGTTTATCACGGCCAGGTTTCTGAACCAATCTTAACGCAACTTTTGCCGATCGATAGAGAATGAACCAGGAATTCACATGGATCCTAACATCATAGGCGGATACAGATCATTGAGATTGGGGGTACACAAAAACTATAGTAAATAAGGTTTTTGTTGGTACTGTTTCTAAAAAGGGTGGACGGTGGTAATGGTCTTGTTATGTTACAATTTTCTTATGAGAGAACGACTACAATTGTATTGGTCATGCATAGGCGGTGTCAGGGCACCTATGTTGGGAGGTAAAACATAACCCCCCTTTTTGGACGCCTGGATCCGCCTATTATAGCAAAAACGTGTTGAAAGAGGATGCACAATAACTTTGTATATGTTATCACATGATACCTTTCATTCACTGTTCGTAAATCTGATGCATACAGTTATAATACATCAGCATCGTGATCTTCGCCCAAATGACTCGCTTCACCAATAGGACCCCCCAATTCCCAGTGCTCTGGAGCTGCCCCTGGTGAAGGTATGAACTTGAAATTTTCAGGGAATGTGCCCAATTTAGTTTTAGGAAAAGTCAGAAAATTTCAGCATCGTAGCTTCAGCGGTTTCGGAGATATTCCCAAAAAACCTGAGGGGTGAATGAAAACAACCCCCTGCCACTAATAGGGTTTGATTAAACACTCTGACCGAGGAAAGACAGGCAGGTACATACGAGCTCCTCGCCATTTCACCCCTAACCGAGGTAGAGTTTCGCGAAAAACGAGGTGTATGTAGCCGGAAGTGTGCAACGTTACGTGACGCAGCGACAGGCACCCCACTAGCAAATTTTGTTTCTTTTCTTCATTTGATATTCTATTTGGCTCGTTCTCTCAACCCAACCTCGTTGCTCCATGGTCCCAATAATGCCTCCCTAGCCTATTTATTTCCTGCCCAATTTTTATGTATTCACTTTGGCCTTACAATTACCTTTTGTGATGCATCATTCAAAGATTCTTGTTCACTCCAAATTAAAAGAAACTTTCATGGTCTTGAATGCTCGAAATCACCCATTCAAAAACCGATTACGTTTATTATCTGACCTCGAAAATGAAATAAGGTAAGCATGACTATGATCTAAAAATGATAATCTTTCATAATTGCTCATTCATCAAGGTTGTGTCGCAATATATACAAAGAGTACAAAACACGGGTGGTATCAATTCACCCAATGAATATTGATGGACGTCTAACGACTATCGGTAATTTCCATCGGTCGGATAGTGCACTGCGCTCCTGCACGCGGCGAGCGCGTGCGTCCGTGGCGTGTAGCAGGTAGGCCGGCAGCTCCGGCTTATACATTCCACATGGCGACCCAGCCGCTGATTAACCCACATTGGACGGGGTGGGGTGGAGGGGCGTATGGAGGGGGGCAGGAACATTAGTCCCAACAGACCACGCGTTGATTACCGAGTGCGTGGTGTGGTACGGTGATCGCCATGGCGCAGCGTAATCATGGAAGTGCCGCTCATAGTTACACGGCAGTTGCCAGGCGGACTCCATATCCTATGCATGGTACTATAACCCGCGCCGTGCTGGGGGGGCGTTTTTACGCCCCCCCCTCAGGTTTTTCGCGAATATCTCAAAAACGGCGGCGCGCAGCGCCGCCGTTTTTGGTACACGTGTTCCTACATCATTTCCGCACATGTTGTGAAAATTTCAGACCTAGGCCGTTCAAGGTCAGGTCACCAGGTCACGTCAAGTGACCTTACCTCAGAAAACGTTCAAAGGCTCGCTATAGCTACACCGACTGAACGATCACTTTGAAACTTTCAGCGATTGATATGAGTAACAGTATGTATAAAATGTATATCTCGGATTTTTGATATCTGTGACCTAAGGTCAGGTCAATTTTGCGACCTCTCCATTATAAGTCAATGGGAGAAAATTGAAATGCGCCTCTTTTGGACGAATATCGTTCAAAACGCTCTCAAACATCGGTTCATAGGTAAACATGACACACTGAATAGGAAAAATGCACCTGTGACCCCTCTGTGTGCCCCTGAGGTCATCTCAGGTCATGAACGGTCGCCAGCAGTTTTTTGGCTATAACTTTTGATAGAGACGTGCTAGAGCGGTGAAAACACGTCAGATGTGTTCAGCTCGACGATACGGATCGACTGATATGCAACATGACCCTTTTCGGTCAGGTCATGACCTTGACCTGAGGTCAAATTTTCAAAATGACCTTTCAAGGTCAACGAATAGTTCATTCGACGCGTCTCGACGAGAGGAACACGATGCTGGCAAAAGTAATGTCATGGCGCTTATGAGTCAAAAGTTATTGACGAAAAAACGTTTTTCGTAAAAACGGCTATTTTTGGAGTTTTTGCCCTCTGGAGGCTAAACCGTTGACCTGAGGTCAAATCTGAGAACATTACTCAGAAAGGTCTGTAAAAGGGCTATCGAATGCGCTTTTCCGCGGCGCTGTAGCTCTATCGGTTCCCGAGATAGCCGTTGGCAGTTTCCAAAATGTTGAAATAGTCAACATTTTACCTTTGGTGACCTCTGGTGACCTGACCTTTGACCTGACCCAAAAAATGACCGAAGTGTTTTCGTCTTTATTTTTGACGCTCTTTCGATTGCCGCTTACCGCGTGTCGCTACGTGGCCCAGGAGCCGAGTTAGACGGGGGGGCGTGAAAACGCCCCCCCCCCAGCACTCGGCGGAAAGTTCAGGCCACCAGCACGGCGCGGGATAATAACTAATATGCACGTGTAATAGGACCATTTGACCCATTTGAGGTTTGACGCATGAGTAGGTAAGTGTCAAGCGACTAAAGCCGGGTGCAGTTTTACTGAACTCGTGCTACTCGGTCCCTGAATATCAACAAACAAGCACACAAACACTAAACAAAGATAAAAACAAACAAATGAATAAATGAACAAACAAACCAACAAACCAACAAAAGAGAACCACATACCACATACCAGATAATGGCCCTCTACCCCTCGCAGCGCGCTCACCGTTTCATGAATCTGACCAGCTGGAGCACGTAGTCGGCGTTGGGGCCGCACCTGCCTCTGGCGGCGGCCACCTGGGCGGCCAGTCGGGCCAGCGGCGCCTCCCCCAGCCACAGCGGGTTCCGCTCCGTGGCCAAGTAGATGGTGACGGCGAACGGCGGCCGGCCCGGCTCGCGGGGCACGAACGCCACACGCCGCGTCTGGTAGCCGCCCAGCACCACCTCTCGGCCATCCAGGTAGCGCAGCGCTGCCCGGTCCGTCACCAGGAACGCGCAGCCCCACGTGGTGCCCTGGGGGACAGGCAGTGCTTAGGATCACTTCAGGGTCGCGTAGCCCCATGTAGTGCCGTGCAGGAAAAGCGCAAGTTCGGAACCTAGTGCATTATTTTCCAGTCTTTCGAAGGAGACCTGGTGCCACTTGGCGATGTCATATCGATCACTCAGCCTTTGCTGCTCGTTAACTTGCCAAACAGAACGTGTTTATGCTGCGTTAAACCCCGTGTCATGTTCCCCATCGCTCTATCGTTAGTTTCTGGCCACAAATGACCCAAGACCCAAGAGCGATTATAGGACCAGCACGGTCATACCTGATGAAGCCGCCTTTTAATGAAGAACCCCACCTACAGCCAAGCCGCTGGATGGCACACATGGTGTGCCAGTTATTAGTAATGGATATGCATATAAAGACCCCATGCATGTGTGCGCTCTATAGAGCGCACACATGGGTATACCCACGGGGTATACCCACTGGGTATACCCACTCGCTGACCGACATGCCTTCCGTGCGTGAGGGTTCCGGTATGTATGTACCGACAGGGCCATGGTCCTTGTGCGACGTGCGTGACAATACAAACCAATTATTGCATGCCGTATGCTCCCCGGTGGGAAACTGATCGGGTACTAAAGCTGACCGCTCACTTTGTTTCCGGGCCGGGGACGGTGCGTGGGGGGAACTCTATGCATGTAGGTAGTATTCCGTCTAGCTAATGACGAATAACTACATATGTAGTAGGTAACTGCTTCGGGGTGAAGAACAAATAAGACTACAAAAGATGCATACAGAAACGTGACTTAAAAATTGGCATAATGTAGCAATGTTTGGGCATTAATACCTAATTAATTCTGCCACGAATACCTAACCATAAAATCTATAGTCTGCGACTGTCACTGCATCAGGTAACCTATACCTAAATGACATCAATATCTTTACCGTTAAAAATACGTGTATATTGATTATGTTCCTAGCTCCTGCAACAGCCGACAACGGCACTCTATGGTCGTCCCGTCGCATTTCAGTTTGCAAATGTAGATCTGGCGGCGAGAGACTGCAACGCCTGGTCCCTCAATAACCCTGGCGCCTGCCTGAGTGGGTATGCTGTGCCGCCGGACTCCGGAGTGCTGCGGGTGGCCTACCTTCCAGTGGCCGCGGGGAAACTTGTGGATATTCACCGCAGTGCAGACGATTCCTCCGAGCTGAACTAGTGGGACGTTTCCTTGAATGAAACGCTATAGGCACTAAACAGTGCCTCGATATTTTTGTAAATGCTCCAATACATATACTCGGAGGTAAATAAAAACAATAAGCATTTACTTTGTGACCTGTAGGCCTTGTACTAACAGATGTTAAAGGAAACGTTTAGGTAGACCTAAACGTTTCCTTTAACATCTGTTAGTACAAGGCAACGTTCGGCAAAGAGCAATCGTTAGTGACTGCAAGGTAAGTATCGCTGCCTGACTGAGTGTAGCTTAGTCGATATGCAAGCAGTGTGCATATTTCATTAGCACGGACCAGCTATAGTGGGGTCATGCGAAGGAGTGCGCTGATGGAAATGTTATGGAGCACCTGTTCGGTACCATTAGCACCCGACAGTCCCAATAAGACATCGGAGCCATTCGAACACTTCCAAAGTAATTGTATTTCCAAATTGCATTAATTACTTTTGAGTAAGGAATTAATTCAGTGGGTGCCTAATTAGTCATTGAGTCAATCAGACAAGATTTACTGGACGGAATTGGTATAAAACGTTTTGTTGTATAAAACGTTTTGTTCTCGTGTTCCATGTAATCCAATAAAAAAGATATAGTTGTTCTCGCATCTCCTCAGGTTTCTCAGGGAAAGGTAGATAGGTAACTAAATGGCTAGTAAGCAGTCGGGGTAGTTGTTTAGGTGCGTAAATGACCGATAAGGGAGCAGACCTCTGTTCCCCAGTCAATGTCCCTCCGTCCCCGTCCCGGCAGTGGATGTCCCTCCGCCTCCGTCCCCGTCCCGGCAGTGGGTGTCCCTCCACCTCCGTCCCCGTCCCGGCAGTGGGTGTCCCTCCGTCCCCGTCCCGGCAGTCGCGGTCCCTCCGTCCCCGTCCCGAGTCTGTGTCCCGCCGCCTCACCTGACTGTGTTCCACCAGAGTCGCGACTCGGCCCGGCTGAAAACAGAGACCACACATAGTGAGCGCAGGCGAATGCGTTAGTGAAAAAGGTAATTATAAAAACTGCACCAGTGGGTGTGAGACTGAGTATATACGAGTAAATATATTTACGTCTGCTTTCACTTAGCAGCCCACTGCTTTATCGGCAAGTGCCGGAGCAAGTAAGCCCAACCTGCACTTCACTGTCCGACTCCTAGATCAGATTGCGTCGTGCAATTCAAAACTGACGGAAGTTGCAATAAGGCACCACACGATGTAGGTAATTGGACTGAGGTAGGGAAATCGGCGGGTAGGTATAGCTTTCCAGAGTATTCGAGCCTGGTAACGGCCATTTGTCTAGTCGGTCAGAGCTCACTACGTCGGTCTGTCGCTCAGAGCTCACTCTTGTCGGTCTGTCAGTCAGGGCTGACATTCTGTCAGTCTGTCGATCTGTCGGCCAGAGCTCACTATGTCGGTCTGTCGGTAAGAGCCTACCTGTCCCTCCGTCGGTGCTGATCTCACCTGCTGGGGTGTACCGCAGTGGGTGACGCTCCCCAAGTCTCTATGTTGGTCAGTTAGCTCACCTGCCCCTCTTAGAGCTCACATATCCCTCTGTCAGCTGATCTCACCTGCTGGGGTGTCCCGCGGTGGGTGACGCTGCCCTGCCAGAACCTCCGGCTGAATCCCTCCACACGGCCAATCCGGCGCTCCCGGTACGAAAAGCCGGGCTTCCAGCACAGCGAGCCGTACCCAAACACCCACAGGTGAGCCCGGTCCGACTCCTGCGCGACCTCTGACCTCGGGTCGCGGGATGAGGACCACTCCTCAGAGCAGGGGTCACCAGCGGACAGCGGCTGCTCAGCCGTGCAGGAAGGCGGCGTCATCGCTCTGAGAGGCTTGGTGTCAGTTATGTAGTCTTGTCGGTTATTTAGTCTTAATTAGAGCCATGAAGAAATCCAGGAAGTAACAGGTAGAGGATTAGACAGAGCCTTTACGAGATACGGCTACCGGAGATATGAAAATGTCTATCCGGATTGGGACAGACTCCCAGTATGGCTGCTATCACACCTCTGCTGGCTTCCAGAGCTTCTGCAGCTCAATGCTGTACTGACGGAGACCACACGGGCCAGGGACAGCCCCGCCGACACCGACGAGCCACAGCGCAGCCGCTGCCCCCTCCCCCACCGGACCAACAATCGATGATCCTCAGGTCACAGCGGTGGGCGGTGCAGCATTGACGGAGAGGCTGACGACAAATGATAGGTATTAATGACGAGAGAGAGAGAAAGAGAGAGAGAGAGAGAGAGAGAGAGAGAGAGAGAGAGAGAGAGAGAGAGAGAGAGAGAGAGAGAGAGAGAGAGAGAGAGAGAGCTAAAGAGCTAGGGGGAGTGATGCACACATGCCTTGAAGGCCATCAAAGTCGTTTCATTCATGAGCGTTCCATCCGGCACACTTTCAACATTCCACGGTAGCACGACGTGAAATCCGGGTGCAGAAATAAGCCTGTTCTCGTACCCAAATGTATGCGTTGGAGTGCGGCGTGGCCACGCCTCACATGGTAACAGATACGCCTTCTGATAGCGGCCGTACCCCTCTGCAGCTCATCCATACTGGGGTCGCGTCTCGGCGTCCTAGCAGATGTCTGGCAGTCATTGACGTCCGCCCTTCGATCTGATTGACTTCCATCGTGACCGGGTGTCCACTGTCTCAGTCGTGACAACGGTCGGTGATATTCCGCGGCGCCCAGTGATGGATTCAGCACCTGCCATTCCTGTCAGGGCACTCCCATCTCGGGACAAGCTGTGCCAAATGGCCTGCGGCGGCTCAGATACCTACTCCAGCCGGGTGGCTGACGTATTCCGGCCGCTGGGGATGTGTTCTGATGGAATAAATCACCAGGGTGTTTTGTAAGTTTCACTCAAATCGAGACTAATACGGGGTGTGAAAACGGCGTCATTCGGGTCGTTTTGCTAATGAGCGGCTATGGGTGGTGATGGATGCCGGTGGTGTTGCGGTGACACGCAGCCAGGAGGTGTACGAACTGAGGATCCTAAACATGCGCCACCCAGTGAGCCTCGGACAGCTCGGCGGCTTCTGGATACACACTGGCAGCAAATCAACGCCATTATTTCTAAAAATGGATGCCGATAGGTAGTTGATAAAGCCTATGTAAGAATAGAACATAATGTATTATAAACCTATCATCTTCCCACGGCGCAGCGGAAATTATTAGGATCTATACGTCCCCGCTTGAGTGAATGCTTCGAAAATTTATACTATGGCCTCAAATATCAGGATTGCTATGCAAAGCATATAAGTACTCGTATGTATCTTAGGTTTTGGTAGAAGTAGAAGTAGTAGAAGTGTGGTACAGGCCGATCCAATGTGACGTGGTGACCTATACGACCTGGCCTCACCGAAGGTGACCTGGCCTGATCCAGTGTGACCAGGGATAACCAACCTGACCTGACTTGACCCCGTATGACCCTAATTCATCCAACTAAGCTCTCAGAATAGTTATTATGTTCAAAGTTTTCCTCTGCACGTTTCCGTCCATATCTCTGTTTCCAGACGACAGATCAATTTAAATCAAAGACCATTCGAAAGCAAATTGGCTGTTCCCGCATTTTCTGGCTACGCCGCGAAGCAAGTGGCGCAGCCGCTTGTCTATATTACCAGTAAAACGCCTTTTGGGCGAAGAACGAGCGAGCGAGATAGTGAGCCCTGCACGTGCGGAAGGGCGAGAGGGTGCTTCCAACGGGCTTGCGCAAAGCACCCTTCTAACCGGTCGCTAGCAGCGTGCCAAATTTGAACGCAATCGGCCCAGCCGTTCCTGAGATCTGGAAGCGGCATTCTGCACGTGCGCACGTGCAAACGGGGTCCAAAATGACTTTTGCACGGCACCCTACTAACTGGTCCCCAACCGTGTACCAAATTTGAGCGCAATCGGCCCAGCCGTTCTCGAGATCTGGAAACGCCCCCGTTTTTGTGATTTCGGGTGCCGGTCGCTCTAGCTTGGTGGAATGATGATGGATCATTGGAAAAACTTCAACGTGGAGTCCCGGTTCGAGCCTCATCGGGGCTCCGGCTACTTTTCCGAGTTAGGATCTGGTTTGATTTTAGTGGTTGCGAGCCATTTATACGGTTTTATATCTACATGTCGATTGTCGATTGATTTATTCATTCATTCATTCGTTCATTTATTACATGTCGACATTTAGCATACGAATTGACATCCAGGATCAATCCGATCAATCTACCATTTTCATAAGCGTATTGCCTAAATATCATGCATATATGTGGCACAAGACCTATGGTTGCCTCGATACTGTGCCTGAAATCACGTTTTGCACAATGCACAAGTAAATTATATTTTCTGGGTCTTCCGTGCATTGTGCTTAGCAAAAACAGGAATGCAATTTTTAAGCGACGCAAAATGTGCAATGCAGCAAGTGACCACACAACCCGCCCAGCCCCCATGGTCCACCAACACTCCCCACACCACTCCCCAGCCCACGCCAACCACCGAGACGAGCCCCTCCCCCCGCGCTGGTCTGACGTGACAGCTGGTCTACAAAGCGCTCCACCCGGCGACCCGAGCCGATGTCAAACGGCGTGGGTAGACTGTGCCGCTTCACTCTCGGGTCATGCGGCACAGCCTACTGGTACCAGGCGGCTGCTGCCAATGCTGAGCCATAGGAACCCGGTGGATAAAGAGTAGGGGACCATCAACCTGTACACGACTGTACGGGGAAAACAGCATCGTGTAGAGAATCGAATGGGCTATCGAATGGTGTGCGGTGCAGGGGTTGGCACGCGCCACGTGCACCGGGGAGGACACTTTCTTTTGAAAAATGGACGTTTTGGACGGATTTTGGAATTTATATTAATTTCAGGTGATCGTCAGACGGAATGAGTTGAAACAGCGGCTATTAGCAATAAAAATGTACCGTCTCTCATGGAAAAATTGTGAAAAGCTAATTGATCAAAAACAATGTGGAAAAAATCGCTGAATTAAATGGTATTTGTCCAAAATGTGCCACTAAATAATTACACGGATTTTGCTGCTTAACCTGATACGTTTGACAATTGAAAATGCTATCATTGGAGAGAGCATTCAATTCTCTCCAAGATCCAATCATCACGTTTGCATGACAAGCAGCAGTATTCTTAAAAATATAAATGTTTCAAACCTCTGCAAAACGATTTTTAGTGAAAATTATCTACGCCTTTAATTTGTCATAAAACTACGCGCCTAAATTATAAAGCACATTTGACAGATTCTGAATTGTGGAAAGCATGCTTATCAGACACGGGCACCTCGATGCGGTGGATATTTTTTCCACAAACCAAAACATTTAGCCGTCAAAAAGCATTCGACCGAAATGGATAGACCAGTAAAACGCCTTTTGGGCGAAGAACGAGCGAGCGAGGTAGTGAGCCCTGCACGTGCGGAAGGGCGAGAGGGTGATTCCAACGGGCTTGCGCAAAGCACCCTTCTAACTGGTCGCTAGCGGTGTGCCAAATTTGAACGCAATCGGCCCAGCCGTTCCTGAGATCTGGAAGCGGCATGCTGCACGTGCGCACGTGCAAACGGGGTCCAAAATGACTTTTGCACGGCACCCTACTAACTGGTCCCCAACCGTGTGCCAAATTTGAGCGCAATCGGCCCAGCCGTTCTCGAGATCTGGAAACGCCCCCTGCACGTGCGCACGTGCAGTAGCACCCTAACCGCAACACATGGGAATGCATTGCCTTTTGGGTGCCTACCTGTATGCCAAGTTTCAGCGAAATCGCCCCAGTAATTACCGAGTTACTGAAATGGGAACAAATTTGGCACCTCTTATTGTTGTATTTTGCACGTGCACTGGGGGTGACCCACATGCATCGAGAGTATCCTATTTTGGGTAGAAGGGATGCTGCTACCCTACAAAAATTACCGCAAGTCAATCGCCCAAGCGGCTGCTAAGAAATGAGCCTCTCAAAATCACTACTTTTGCAAAACAGCTTGAACACCCTTGACTTTTCACGTGGCACGTGCCACAACGGCCACTGAGATGTATCAAAAGTAGTCAATTACGGGGTAGAAGGGATGGGGCTACCCAACAAAAAAGACCGCAGGCCAATCGGTCCAGCGGTTGCTGAGATATAAGCCTCTCAAAAGCGTTACAGGCCGGGCCGGGCCGGGCCGCTCATACTGAGATTTTTCCGTTATATTGAAAAGACTCACTTCGCTCGCTGCGCTCGCTCGCTCGTAAAGACTTCGCTTCGCTCGCTGCGCTCGCTCGCTCGTAATAACCCAACCGACACAAGAACAACCGAACACCCGCCGATCGAAAATATCCCTTTTCGCGTTGCGGAGCACGCGGGTCACCCTAGTTTTTGCTATTTTAGATGCTTATGTTATTGTTGACCCTTATTTGTAGTGTTTGTGGCGTTCGTAGCAGGGGTGCGGACTGCGGAGCCGTAGCTAGTGCTGGAGCCGGAGCCGCCGGAGCCGGCATATTTTGCCCGGAGCCGGAGCCGGAGCCGGAGCCGTCAAAAAGGGGGTGACTCCGGCTCCTGTTTTTTTTTTAGAGGAAAAAATGATTGACGTAGTTCGGTTTGACAGCACTTACAAGGCAGTGACAGTACATGTGGTATTCAAAATAGCCTTGTTATGCAAATACAGAAGCTACGTGTACCAATCCCATCGTCTTTTTTGTTCCACCCGTATATAATTGCATAAGGGATGTACTCAGTACTGAAGCCGGAGCCGGAGCCGGAGGCCGGAGCCGCCATGACATTTCACCCGGAGCCAGAGCTGGAGCCGATTTTTTTCTCCGGAGCCGGAGCCGGAGCCGGAGCCGTTTGAAATTTCCACGGCTCCGCATCCCCGCGCCTGCCGCGTGTCAGCACCGGCCGGTTCCAGGTAGCGCCTGTTACACCGGAGCAGCTGCGGCGCGTTATCGGCCGGATGGCGAGCAGCACGTCGTGCGGGGCGGACGGACTGTGTGCGCGGTTCATCAAGCAGTGTTTCGACTCCATCTGCCCTTTCATCACCCACATTGTCAACACCAGCAT